TAAAAAAAGGGCAAAAGTGTTTGAATAATGTAATGGGAAAAAAAAAATTTATATAGTGCAGTCGAACAATTATTTGCTAAAGTAGGGTTATTGCTACAGTGACCACCATAGGTCTCTAGGAGCACACGACGACCTATGGAGCATTTGGCGACCTATGGAGCTGCAACAGCGAGGGAAGAGAGAAGAGTTGTTGCAATAGAGGATGCTTTGTCGCAAGGAGCACTTTACGATCAATGAGGTCACTACAGCAAACACCCCAGTTCAAGAAATAATTTGGGTAGAGCCTTATATGGGGAAAAAAAATTTCCCAACGCCCTACATGGGCGAGAAAGGCTAAAAAAAAGTGTCTAGGGTAAAGTCATTGGAGAAAGGTGATTTTCGACTATGGCTAAAAATGAAAAAAAATAAATCCTTACATTTAATGGAGAAGATGATGAGGTAGAATAACAAAATTATTTTTTAACTTCCACGTCAGTACACATAAACACGAACTGCCATGTCATTCATCTACTGAGAGATTAATGGCCCAATAATTATGTTGAAGTTAAACCAAAATTCAATACTATAACTGAATATTTTAAAATTTAATAGTAAAATCGATACAATTTCTAAAGTTAAGTGACATTTAGAATAATTTACCGCTTTTATTTTTCTAGTTTTGATCTTACAAAATCAAACCCTTTCTATCCTCCCCCAAAAAAATATTCTACATAATTGAGCAGCTAGTTTCATCATGCGCACGGTAGTCATGATCATCATGTTCATAGAATTTATCCATTGGATCATACGGTGGAGGTGGAGGTGGTGGAGGTGATCCGTATGCATTAGAATACGTTCTAGGGGCATAACTAGAAGAGGCTGAGTTGGGATAACTCGTGCTGTAACTCACTCCAAACAATGGAGGTCCATAATACATAGGTCCATATGGATACGTAGCCAGATTTGGAGGGCTCCGGTTGATTGATTCCTTAGGTGGGGCCTGGTCTGGGACTGTGAGAGCCGTAGCTGATTGATTATCACCTGGTGGTGCATCACCGTTGGGAACAGGGCTACCACCTTTCTTCCCTTTCTTTTTCTTCTTTTTACCACCACCACTACTTTCGAGTACCGTGTCAGGTTCCTCGCTTTCACCGCCCCCATTTGGTCCCCTGCTGTAGGCTGATCACCTCCAGCAGGACGGTCTTTGCCGTCGCCCGTTAATTCAAGCTTTTCTGCTGACTTATTCTTCTGTTCATGATCGTCACCGGCTCGCTTGCCATTGCTCTTCGATTTCACAGCCTTTTTGTCATTCTTTTCTGGCCAAGGCTCGACGAATTTTCCCGACTTTGACAGCTTCTTGATGAGTAATTCTTCATCCACACTGCCGGTTACCGTCACCTTGTGCTGTTTAGAATCTATGGCCGTCTCATAAACACCTTAAAAATGAAAAGAAAAAGGGATTTCCAGTTGTTGTTAGTACTTAGAATTACACGTAAAGATAAAAGCGATTGAATAAAATTGCATGCAGGGTACCGTCAATGGCTTGAAGAACTTTCTTGACTTTCTTCTTGCAGCCTTCACAATGGATGAAGACTTTCAACACATGCCTATAAAACATTAAAAACATCAGTCAACTAATTTTAAACACACACACATATGGTCAGTAGTTACCATATATTTGAGTGTCCCTGAATCATCTTGGTTAGCTGCCATATGAGGGAGGGAGAGGGGAAGGAAAGGGGTGTTGAGAGGAAGAGGAAGGGAGGAATCCGTCCTTAGGGGAAGGAGGATTGGAGTTTTAAAAAGTGCCGGTCTAAGACTGAAAAGCAATATACAATGCAATATTTGGTGGTGTGGGTGCCACGCCACCTTTTTCTTCTTGAAAAAGTATTATATAAATGTTGATAGCATGATAGTTAGTAATTAATCAATTTTATTTAGACGGAGAGTTGCAACTGATATAAAGATATAAATAAATTTGCGATTTTCTATCACAGAAAAAAGGAGAAAGTATAAGAGAGAAGGCGAATAATGTAAAGAGGAGAGGCCCTCTTTCAGTTTTTCCTCAAGGTATAAATATCCCAACTATAAGTGATTGTTGTTAGGCCTAGAGTTATCATGACTGCTAATAAGCTGATAGACTGTATAGATATAACTGTTAATTATCAGATTTAACTCTATCACATGTTATGTCAAAGATTGAGTAGCATGCACTCCATAGAGCGATCCCATATGTCTAATAGAGTAGATTTCGGAAATGGTGTGATGTTTACGAGGATTTTTATTGACGAAGATTAATAATTTCCCGAAGATATATGCAAAGATACAACAATAATTCTTTTTATCATATTATCTTTTAAAAAGTATTATTTTCGTCCATTTATTTTTTTTAATTGTATTTTCATCCATATACAAATACTGCAGTGCTGGATGTTTCTAGAAAACTTCATGGTGCATGGGATTACCTTTTCACCCATCACATTCAATAACATAAGTTTCATGTTTATTCGGAATCATAGATCTTCTCATTCATGGCGATTAACCATCTCCCACTACCATAATAAAACCAATTCGCTATACATCACATGATTATTTCAGTTTAATATTTAAGTGTGATGATGAATTTTGTTTTCACTCTTTATTTTTTTGTTAATTTAATTTAAATTCTTAAATTAAATCATAAATTATAAATGAAATGTTGATTAAAATATTAAGTTTCTAACATTGGTAGGATAATCCAGGTGACAATCCTTTTATATTTCATATTAACATGGAACTAGTTTATCTTATATATCATATCAATAAATAATATAAAAATATTCTAGAAAAAATATATGTCAATTGACATGTAAGATGTTATATCAACAGCGTTCAAGTTTTAATATTTTTATTAATATTTTATTAAAAATAATGATTTTACTTATTTTAAGAATTGGGTATAAATTTTAACACAGAAAAGGTAGTGAACATTGAATGCTATATATATATCAATACATCATTAAAAAACAATTAATCCTATTAACATTGAAGCATATTAGTAAAATTATCCCCCAATGTTTTACTGAATTTTCATTTTCGCCCTCAAGTTTTCTTAACAAAAGCATCCTCGTTGTTGCTAAAAATTTCAAATACCCTTTTTTAAATGGTGAAATGATTTGATATAGAATAACCCTTCATTTTGTCACGTCATTGTTGATGAATATTATTGTTGATTTGTTTTATTTTATATATTAATAAATAAAAAATAAAATATTAAAATTATAAAGCTTAAAAAAATCAAAAAAAATTACAAAATATAAAAGATTTAAAATTAAACTATTAAATAATATTTTTCTTAACTGATTACCAATTGATCTGACGGGATGAAACACTAAATTCCTTATGCAAAATCAATAATTCAAATTTTAACGTTATAAATAGAGAAAACTAGATTAAAAGAGTCGGTCCATTGTGAGACTATGTAGTACTATATACCCAATATCAGTAGTTATATAACAAAAGATAGATTAGAGACTTACCAATTGATGTCTCCTTCAAAACCCGAAATTTTGTATCAAATCCCTGATTTCTTGTTAGTTGCCAGTGTTACTACTTCCTCAAATGCCAAATTTCTTGCAGCTATCTCAAACTGGCTACATATACAAGTGAAAAAACTGATATTCGTATCTCAACATCTGCAGCTTCTTTTACAAAGAGGAAAAACATAGTTTACGGTTTAAACACAGGAATAACTTCAACGTACATATTATGACATTGCAAAAATTATAGTTAGAAACATAAATTCACTGACATACAACCTAAATATCCTGATGCTTTTTATAAAAGTTGATGAGAAAGTTGCACGTTACAAGCTCGTGAAACTAACAATACAATATTAAGATGAAATATAGACATTTTTACGGAACAAATTACATGGTTATTTTTTATCATTTCAACCGACCATATAACTTTGTTTATGACTCGGACGAATGATGTAAAAGGCAATCCCTCCCAAGACATGCCCAAATTAGTTAGACCGAGAAGTCAGAGAAATATGTAGATAAAATTACTTTCTCACCATTACCAGTGACATCAACTTCCTTCCTGTCATAGAAAATTATCGTATAAGTGAATTATATATGTTGAACAAGTAATGAAGAACTTTTTTCTGACAAGCTAAATGGAAATGCCTAAGGTCTTTTACGTTTGCAGTATAGTGTCAGCCGGGTAAAAAGTGGCATACTTCTGCTAGGATCAGATGTTTAAGCTCTTCATGGAAAACAAAGGCCAAGCCTTGTATATTCTGAATACTATCCACTATATAACCACCGGTTTTATCTTAAGAATTGTCCTTGTGATAAGATTTAGTGTTCAATGTGCATACCATGGGGGGGTGAATGCAAATCAAGTTTCCAGTTTCTAGGTCAGCATTGGCGCATATTCTTTGATTGAAAATAATCGTTACTTTTTGTCCTTCATTTTCCAATATTTTGGGGCTCTCTGGCTGCGGAAAACCCTGCACAAACAGAAACATACAACTTCAGTTTCTAAGTTTCTGTTCTAATTCGGTGGGAAGTCCTGCAACTTGAAACTTCTTTAAGATTTCAACCTCTATGATATTGACAAGAGAGCAATAACACACCGTCAGCTTTGCATCCAAATATCTTGAAACAACTTTGACAGTCATGTTGTTTGGTTCATCTGAGAAATAAGAGAATGAAGACGAATGAAGAATGAGCAATGGGTAAAAACACAAATAATCTCTTTTTGTTAAACCCTAATGTGATGCAGTCCTTGTAAATCAATTTCCTTCAAAATTTGACAAAGGGATAAGGTGAACAGTAACAAGGCTTTACTAATAAAGGTAGCTCCATTCAGCAACTTTGTCAGAAAATCCGTATCTATCTCCTTTTCTTGCTGCATGACCTGCTGCAACTTTCCAAATAGTCCAGTGCTGCAAATTTCCGGAGGATAAATTGCTCAAATATATTTTTCATTTCCAACATTTATCATTAACATGATAGGATAATTCTAGCCATATTATGAACCTGAACACTCCTAGTCTAGGAATCGAAGTGCCTTCAGCACTCAAGAAGGTGGAACCTAAGGCTGCCTGAAACTTATCTGAAATAGTATGATTCTTTATCTCTGGAAAAGCAAGTTCTAGATTTCGGCAATCAGCCTGCTTAAGCATTTTGTAGCAAATACATTCAATTAATAATTTCAGGTACGAGGCAATGACTAAGCAACCGCAGGCATGTATATACCTCATCATTGCTTGATGATTCATCACTGGGGCTCATAGAGGGCTTCACTTTCAATGGTTCTATCACCAAGTGAACATATACTTCTTTTGAGAGTAGCTTGTACCCTTTTTCCTCTTGCTCTGCTATTCTGTGAAGTATGTGTGTAAATTAAAATTTTAAGCAACGAATTATGGCTCAAGAACAACAATGACAAAAGAGAAATACCATTTTAAAATTCCCTCTTAGCAGGCTGGGATTGTCCTGAAGGTCATCTAAAAGTTCAGCCATTGAATGCCCATGACCAAGAGCTTCTACATCAGCACGAACAATCTCTAACTGGTTTTCCTCTTCTCCACTGAAATCTTCAAGAACCTCGGCTATTGAATGCTCTAAGGTTCCATGATCACTGTCCTGCAATCTTTTGGGCACTTTACCAGCTTTAGTTGACATGACATTTTCGTTATCTGAGATAGATAGACATGAAACTCCTCTTTGTGGTTGGAAGCCAAATGAAAATCTAGGTCTCGTTTTGTTTATGGCACCTGCAAAAGCATAAATAAGCCCAGGCTGCCAGATTAGAAAAAGAGGAGCATCTTTCAAAGGCCAAATAAAGCCCCATGGTATCTTGGTTATGTGAAAGAGTTCGGGAACTGAACTCACGGCACTGGTAGATTCCTCAATGAAGGTTGGTTAGTGAAAGGCCTAGCTACTACCATATGCATACAGTATCCATGCACTTTTTGGGGCAAAAGCATATCTGAATCTATGTTACCCACTTACTCTCAGGAAGTCAGGGTTCTCTAATTCATTTCCTTTTCCCCATACAATGGGAACATGAATGCATATTTCGGAAAACCACTGAAAATGGAATGATAATGAATTAGAAGCAAGTCATTCTAGGAGCAAGAATGTTTCACCTCTACAAGATTTATCAGCTTTGGAACAAGAAAAATGAGAAGAAAAGCTTGAAACATTTTTGTCCAAATGGATTAGTGCCTCAGCTTCTTTAGTTACCATAGACCATGCATTTCCCCCATCTCTCTCCTCTATTCCAGAACTACGATCAGATTTTTTAGCACCAGAAACAATGCAAGATTTTGAGTGCACAACATCTTCCTGTCCAAAAAAAAAATTATATAAGACAAAAACAATAAAAAGAAGAAGCCTAATGCCTTAATCTCAATGGCCACGATGTGAAGAAACATAATTAGACAGCTAGATAATCCACAATTAAAAAAAAAAAGTTATCTGAAATTTCACTTATTACCTCACAATCAGAGACCAATTCCTCACAGGAAACTCGCCTAAATGTCTGAGAGGGAAAGCAGTCACCCTCGCCGAGAGAGTCAGACACTTCAACATCCTCCTTGATACAAAAACTTGAGAATTCTTCATTGTACAAGCGATTGTTATCACATTTCTCTAATGCATAATTTAAAAACAAATTGAGTAATACATCAAAGAGCTTAACAAAAAGAATTACTTTAAAAACTCAAATGTAGAAGAAATTGACGGAAAATGGATACCTTTAAGTGTTTCCAATCTTGATTGAAGTTGAAATCCTTCCTGTTGATGCATAAAATATGCAATCAAAATTCAAATAGATAATTAGAAAACTCCATATTTATGCGAAGTAACAGACAATGACCTGCTTCTCTATTTCCAAACGGTCGCCTAATGAAACACAATTTTCTGCAAAATCATCAATAAACTCCTCCTTGTCTGCCAAATTATCACTCGTAAACCAATCTATACATCCACAGTAAACAGGAAAAGTAATATTGATAAAAATAATTACCAGAAATGCTCTGATCAGAATCTGGATTTTCCTAAAAGCAAGCAAGTAGTCAACAACTAATTGAAGGTACAATAAAAAAAAAGTATAGCAGGCAAATTCTTTACCTGAAATTGGTTTCGCCGCCACATTCCGGAGCTCCGTTCTTTCCAAATTCATAAATGATAAAACCGCCGGGTTTTAAAATTTTCTTTATTTCTTTGAGATAATTGCAAACAATGTCTCTAAATTTTGACCCTATTTTAAATTGATCCTTAAATTTTTAAAATATTTTATATCAATTCTCAAATTTTGACCCTATTTTAAATTAGTCTTAAACTTTAAAATATTTTATATTAGTCCTTAAGTTATCAATATCAGTTCATTTTGATGCTTTCATTATCTTGCCATTAACTCTAGTGGTTAAAAGTTATTTAATATATTTTTGAAGGTTTTCAGAATGGAACATGTGATCTTCTAAAAATTATCATATTATTTTTTAGGTCATGGGTTTAGGGATCAATTTATAATAATTTCATAATTTGAAAATTGATATGGAACATTTTAAAGTTTATAGGTCAATTTAGAATAGAAGTCGTAGTTTGAAGATTTATATAAGTTTTTTTTTTAAATTTACAGATTAATTTAGAATTAGATCATAATTTGGGGCCTCATGTGCAATTAATTCTTATATATATCATTCACTTTCAACAAATATAATTTGAATGATTTAATAGTAAAAGAGAATGATGTTTTACTTAGATAACATAAGTTGAAGTAATTGCATATGTGAAGTACACCTATACATGTGCATTGTACCAATATATTACAAAAAAATTGAATATCACTCGTTAAATAATTAACCTCTTAATAAATAATAACGAGTAAAGATAATTAATTAAGACTCTTATAATTCTAACATTACACTAAACTTTTCTTTCTAATTTGTGATTTTTTTTTATAAAAAGATATATAAAATATTATATATTTTTATTTCTTATTATTTTATACTTTTACTCGTCGTTATTATTTGACAAATAAAAACACAATGCCACATTAATTTTTAATACTAATCTAAATCTGAACTAATACGTACGATGGGATATATATATATATATATATATATATATATATATATATATATGTATATATATCACTAGCACATGCATGGTATAGTGTTCAAAAGGAATTTCAAACGTGTGAGACCTATTACATGCAAATGTGAACTCCGTGATTACAGTTTGATATTATCGTTTAAATTTATGTTACATCCACATGGATTGAGGGACGCATTTCTTTAAGGGAGGTGATTGGTGATGATGATGATGCGTTAATCAATTAATCATTTATGTTATGATTCTAAATTCAATCCTTATCTCATTTTAAATAATTATTTTTCATCACCCCCGGGGGTATTGGGTTCCCAAAAGTTCACTTATCTTCATCGATTAAACTCCATCAAAGCTCCAATGGTTGGTAGGGTTGATCCTGCAAATCCATGCACAATCTGCTCGGTATCTAGCATGATGAAGAAAAGAAAACCAAAGTTTTTTTTACAAATATTAATGTCGTTATAAATATTAAGCATCTAACTCAGTCAAAATTTTAATTATTAAAATAAATAAAAAAATCACATAATACAGAAGGTTCATACATGATATATGACTAAATGTTTAAATATATTTTTACCATAATTTCTCTTACATATTTTATTTCTTACTTTATCTTAAAAAAAACACGTCCATTTCAGCAAACAATACAATATTCATCGCTGCTATTTTCTTCTTTTTCTTTTTTTCGTTTTACATCGATATATAAATCACCCTTTCATGGGAATAAAGAAATACTAAAATATGGGAAAGAATAAGCGTCCATGGCCGACTTTTCTCTCGTTTTTATGCATGGGGTTGCTTAGCTTATGTCAGTATGTCACTTCGAAACCTGTTTCCTTCTAATTTATTCACCATTTGTGACATTCCAGCATCTCGATGGTGCTTAAAGTCGTTTTTCAAGCTCTTATTTTCATTCATAAAATTAAACTTTAGATATCACTTAAAATATTCATTGAAAACGGAATTATTAATTAATACTAATAGAATGGAAAAGGTAATATATTAGAAAGACTAATATAATAGAAAAAATTGTCTTTTATATATATATTCTCTGGTTTCATTGTTATTGTGAGTTTTATGTAATCAATCCGAAACCTACCAAAACACGAAAGTTGGGATCTTTCAGAAAATAAATTTCTATTCGAAGAGTATATAATCACATGAATAAGATTATATTAACCCGTCAATTTAAGATCCAATTCGGGATTTCAAATTTCTTATCGTTTGGCCGAATAAGTATAGATCATCTTTTATATTCTATAATTTCCATAAAACATATAGCGAAGAAAATGCATAAATATTTCAACATCTGGGTGTCTTGACATTGTTGTGTTGATGTTTGCTTCATAAGTGTTGCGGAAGACGTCTATCGGATAGAGCAAAATCGCAACTGATAATTTAAGAAAATAAAAATGAAGATAAAAGAGACACAAAATTTACGTGAAAAACCTCTAAATTATATAGGGTAAAAACCACGGGCAACGGTAGAAGAATTTCACTATGAGAAAATAGGAATTACAACCTCTCTCGATCTACCAAGGAGAAAACAATGATAATTCTCTCTTGATAAAAAAGAGAAAATAACTCTCAAGAAACTCTCTAAATTTTCTCTAGTATTGGAAGAAAGCTAGAATGCTTTGGGATGGTTTTGAAGCTAAATGAGCTAGGGTATTTATAGTTAAAGCTTAAGGACTAATCTTGTAAATACCCTAAAGTCTAATGACTAAAATTAATTTTTCCATTCCATTTTTTTTCAACATTTTTAGGTGAATTATTATTTCTAATTTTCAAATCACCTTTCGGTGGAAAATTAGGCCACCAATTTTGGCCACTTGTCTTGACTTTTCAACAATCTCCCACTTAAAGATTTGATTGAAACAATCATATCTTCACACCATTCTTTCTACCTTGTACCATCATGTGCTTACGTCTCTGACAGCCACAGGGAATCGACACCAGGTAAATTATTAGCATTGATCGCCTTTGTCATGAAATCTGCTATGTTGTCTTTGGTATGAATCTTCTGCATATCTACATCCCTTCTTCCACCTTTTCACGAATGAAATGGTACTGAACTCTAGATGCAAGGCGCTTTGACTGTCACAAATAGAGAGACATACTCTTGATTGTGCCCAAGCTCCTCCAACAGCATCTTCAACCAAATTGCTTCTTTACTGGCTTGTGTAGCTGCTACTGTCTCTGTTGTGGACGTAGCCACAACTGACTGCAATTTTGAAACCCAGCTTACAGCTCCACCAGCAACTTTGAACACATATCTTGTAGTAGATTTGCTTTTATCCAAATCCCCTGCATAGTCAGAATCTACATAACCATTTATTAGTAAGTTTGATTCTCCGTAACATAATGCAACATTTGAGGTTCATTTGATGTATCTCAGGATCATCTTCATTGTATTCCAATGCTCTTTGCCTGGATTCGCCATGTACCAACTAACTACTCCCACTGCTTGTGCAATGTCTGGTCTTGTGCATATCATAGCGAACATTAAACTTCCCACTGCTGATGCATACGGTACTCGAGACATCTCCATCCTCTCTTCTTCATTGCTAGGACTCATACTGGAGGATAATTTGAAGTTAATAGGAAGAGGGGTAGAAATTGGCTTACAATCTTGCATGTTGAATCGTGATAAGATATTCTTCAAGTAATTCTTTTGTGAAAGCCAAATCTTCCTATTACTTATGTCTCGGTGAATTTGCATCCCTATAATCTTGTTTGTTGATCCCAAGTCCTTCATTTCAAATTCCCTAGCCAGTTGTGCCTTCAATTCTTCAATATAATCTTTGTTGGGTCCTGCAACCAACATATCATCCACATACAACAGCAATATAACAAAATCGTTATCACCAGACCTCTTAAAATAAGCACAAGGGTCTGCATTAAGTCTGTTGTATCCAAGGTACATAATGAAGGAATCAAATATCTTATACCAACACCTCGGTGCCTGCTTTAGACCGTACAGAGATTTGTTCAACCTGCAAACCAAGTTCTTTTTTTCTTTTTCTTCAAAACCTTCAGGTTGGAGCATGTAAATCTCTTCTTCAAGATTTCCATGAAGAAAAGCTGTTTTAACATCTAGCTGCTCTAGATGTAAGTTCAATGTAGCACACATTGCCAAAAACTACTCGAACTGTTAGTCGAACCACAGGAGAAAATATTTCATTGAAATTAATACATTCTTTTTGAGCATATCCTTTGACCACCAGTCTTGCACGATACCTCTCAACTTGATCGTCACCATTTCGCTTGATTTTGAAGACCCATTTGTTACCAATTGGCTTCCTTCTTTGTGGTAGTGGCACAAGGTCCCATGTATTATTTTTATGAAGGGCTTTGATTTCTTCTTGCATCGCCATCATCCACAGTGAAGCATCTGAGCTGTTTATTGCCTCCTGGTATGTTGATGGCTCACAGTCCTCTGTTAAAAGACAGTATGCAATATTACCTTCTATAACATAATATGAGTGCCAATTGGGACGTCTTATCACACGATCTGATTGACGAGTTGTTGGAGCTTCAGAACTCTCTGGTTCTTGTTCATCATGTGTTGGTTCTGCTTCAGAAGAATCTCCTTCTTCAAACTCTTTTTCCACATGTATCTGAGTAGTCTCTGACTTTTCAGCGCTATCATCGTCTTTTTTCTTTGTAGTTTATCTTCTACAAAGATAACATCCCTGCTAATGATCACTTTGCGGGCAGTGGGATCCCACAAGTGATATCCCTTTACTCCATCAGCATACCCCAAGAATTTGCATTTCCTGGATTTTGGATCCAGTTTTGAAATTTCTTGGGCGTTGTACATCACGTACACAATACTTCCAAATACATGGAGGTTTGAATAATCAACTGGTTTACCAGTCCACATCTCCATTGGTGTCTTCAGCTTTATTGCAGTTGATGGAGCTCGATTCACCAAATAACAGGCGGTATTGACTGATTCTGCCCAGAATGATTTTTCTAGGCCTGCATCCCTCAACATTGCTCTTGTTCTTTCTAACAAGGTTCTGTTCATCCGCTCTGCCACTCCATTTTGTTGAGGAGTGTTCGCCACTGTGAACTGTCTTTTGATGCCTTCTTTCCTGCAAA